ACTGCGGTTTTAACTTTAGTTTTAGTATTTATAAATTTTGCAATTCTAAACAAAAAAACACTCGTGTTAAGAGATATTAGAAGACTGTATTAATAGTGGTTGAGTCAATTATAGTAATAGGCCTTAGAGTTGATTTGGAATTATTATGGATTCATTATTTGTTTCTTGGCAAATGCATCACTAAGCCTATATATAAAGGCTTTGCACTTGACAGTAATATCATCTCATAATAATAAGAACTACGCCTTTCTTTCAGTTCGTGCTTCTAGCTTCTCCCTTTTTTAATTTTCTTCACAGCTTGTAAGTGAAAACTTTGAGTAGGTAAGTAAGTTTGGATAATGAGAATAGTAGTTTCTAACTTTTGACATGAGGGTAAAATAGTATCTTTAGTATATGGCCTCTCCACCAGAAAAGGGATAGTAATAATATTTATAAAATCCAAAACCGTAAGGCAACTGCTAAATAAATTAACCATGTATGCAAGTCAAAGATATCTAAAATAAATGACACTGAGCTTGCAAAGAACTCAAAGAAAACAACATGCCAGATACTTCAAGAAATTTTGCACCAAAAGCTGCACCTAGTGCAGGGACTGAAGTTAGTATTATGGCGGGTTGTTGATCCCTGGCCTTGGTCTCTACCTTAAACAAAAATGCAATGAATTTATCTTTGCTCAATAATCAGCTAAAAAACAAATATTTCCTAATTAAGGGTAAAATGTAAAATCACATTCATGAGAGAACATAGATATCAGTAGCACTACCACCATATTTCTGAAAAACACCCCAGACAAGAAAACAGAATTTTATACGGTTAAGATGTTTTAGCTTAGCTAAATGACTTGCAAGCCAATAGCTATATTTCACATGGCAAAACCGAATGTTCGAAAGGGAATTCACTCTACACTAAATGTCTAAAATTTATTGCTTGTGAAAAGATGGCAAGTAAAGCTAAAACGTGAAAAAGTTCAAGAACAGCTTTATAAAATCCATATAACTTTTGCAGTTTAAAGAATATAGATGATGATAACATGTTGAGAAATTTCACAAACCTTAAGATACATTCTCTGATCACCTGCGCATAAGGTAGGACATGGAAATTTTCAACAACTGAAGTAGTAATCCATTGGTCAGAAGTCTTTCTGATCAAAAGACCCTGTAGTCTACAAAGGAAACACAGATACATCAAAGTTCTTTTGGCTTTGCTTTCTGACGAGTGAAAATACTTTTAAGTATATTAGCACAACAATCACTATTAAAAAGAAGAGAACCAAATACATAATCCTAGACCTAACTATATAGAACACAAACAGTCCTTGGAGATGGAGAATACTAATAGAATGATCTCATATGACAAGAAAGTATGCAGCATTATGATGCCTAATGTCATTAAGTACCATAGAATTGATGCAAATTTACCCCTGCATGTCAAATGGAAAATTTATCATTCACCTTTAGAACATTGACCTACAATACAGTAATTTTAATAATTTCTAGCCTTTCATCCAGATGTCAGTACATCCAATAATGTGAAGTATCGTCAATGCCAGACATGCAGTTTCCATACCCTAAAAAAAAGCCAGGAGGCCTTTCACATAATTACTCTTGGAACATAACAATGTCAACAAAAATTTTGTTTAATGGTCACTTATAAAAAATCCCTCATCCACATATAAGTCTAGCATACTTTGTACATGGTTTAATAAGATAGGGAAAATAGGGAAAACAGGATAAACAGATTATTCTATGCATCAACATACAAATTTTATCTTATCTAATAACTTCAGAAAAAGATAACCCAAAAAAGAATATAAAACTTTGCAAAAACAATTCTGGAATATATTCTTTTAGCTCAGAGCAAAATTTTAGTAGATGCAACTTATTTAGAACAACTAGATTACTATTAATTCAGAAGTAAACATAGTTTATGATTGTGAGAAAATTATCTTATCCAATTGCATGTCCAAAATGCATCTTTGGGACACTAAGAAGAGGAAACAGCACAAACAATAATCAAGTGACAAAAGTAACACCCATAATTTTCTTAATTTCCAATTTGCCCTTAAATGCCCTTAAATGCCCTTAAATGCTTGGAATGAAAATTTGGGGACCAAAGTGTCTATTATTGCAGAGATGAGTTCCTTGGGTTGAAAATAATGAAATATGGTTCTAGAAGAGGCCATGGTATTATAGATTAACTTTTATAGTGATATAGTACTAATTATACCCTAAGTTAGTTAAAAAGGCTAATTAATCAATAAAAAGTATAATAAGGGCATTTTGGTCATTTTACACATCAAAACTTAGAAAATAACACATTATGACATAAAACATGTTATAATATACATTTATGCTCTAAAT